GCTTAACTGTTCTACCCAGGTGGTTTCCTTAGGTCTCTGAAAGCAAGCATTTTATCTGGAACAGGAAGATAAGATTTGGTTTCCTGAATTAGGTTTGCATTTCCTAGTTCCCTCAGTCATCACTGTGGACAAAAACATAGGCACATGCTCAATTTCTCACATGAGGAAAGTTTAACATATGCTTGCAATGAGTCAGAGTCCACCCTGCAGAACAGGCCTGGAGTAGTAATAGCATCTCTATGGGGGAAGTGTTTATAATACCTCTGCTCAAATCCAGGATGACTGTTCTTATGTTGTAGAGTTTGAATAGGTTTTGCATATGGCACGGATACCTTATACCCCAAAATACTGCTGAAACATTTAATTTTGCATGTAGAAGAGGTGCGAATTAACAGAGCAGACGCAGGGGGGACATGCAGAAAGTGAGAGTTTGAATGGAGACAAGGAGGGAGAGAACAGTGACAGAAGGACAACACTGGTTAATATTGTAATTTTTCCAACATTGTTAAGGACAGGGGGAGACCCCCCCGTCTTTCCTAAAAAGGGTTTTTGTTTAATCCCACAGCAATCAATCAACGAAGCCATACGGACATCAACCCTTCCCAGGCCGGCTGCAGCAGGAGGCAGTGGAGAAAATGGACGTGTGGTCAGCCACGATTTCCCAAAATCCATGCAGACGATTCCATGCATGAGCCACAGCACTGGCATGTCCCTGGGAGCTACGGGATTATAATTGGCCTTTTGACCCATTGCCTGGGTGAGAGCAAGGACAGCCCAACTCCACCCCTCCAGAGCCAAAAAACATACCCAACAACAACAAGACAAACGATGATGACAGAAGGGACAATTGGATGGATCTTCTCAAGGAAATCAAATCTATTTCCCTTTTTATTTGCAAACAGATCCACCGGCAGGAGAACAGAAACAGGTCTGTACTGCAATAAGGAGAGCGTTATGGGATTTAACAGACTCGTGAACTGTCCCTGATCAAAGAACCACTGGAACACTTATGAGGACTATGCCATTTTGTTTTAACTTGGTTGTTAATAAGTCTTAGTGTGTGCAATATATATATTTTTTCTTACTAATTCCTGTGGTGTCAGGGTAACATCAGCCTTTTTCCCCTTCCCTGCTCAGTCCTTCAATCTGGTTTAGTTTGGGGTGCAAACCACAATGTCTGAGCTACTAACAGCAAAAAAGACAAAACGATACATGGCAAGTTGAACTCCCTGCAGGGCATCATCACTGACCCCTTTTGTCTATCGTGATTCTGCCTTTGTTGTTCTGTTGTGAACTCAGGCTGTGGAGTTATTGCAACGAGGCAGACAGAGCTGTGACCGGCTCTCCCTGAAGCGGGAAGGACTTGATGCAAGACGAACCCGAACAAAAACATGAGGCTGTTTTATAGGGGGAAAAGTCATGGGTGAGTTTGGAAACCCCAGGCAAGCTGAGGACAAAGCAGTAATTCTTCCAGAGATGATGAGTGATGGTTCAAGAGAAGAATCGTGTGCCTGGAGTGGAGAGCACGATGCGTGGCAGACTGGAGGAGATGGTTGGTCTAAGATCATGGTCGTGGCTGCTGTTTAAGCAAGAGGGAAAGTAAAAGTGGTTTCCCATCATGTGAGACTCTCCTGCCGAGGTTATTGGGGGCTAATAAGCAATTGTGAACCATTTCTTCATTGCTTAGCTTCTGTGTGTGCTCCCTTTTTGGTGGTCACTTAAGGGAACCACCGTGAGCCAGGAATAGACGATCTCAAGACATTCAGTTCTAGGTGGCTGCCTATTAACCAGTACAACATGCTAGAAGTCATGGGGCTGCAATGGGAATATTTCTGCTCTGAAATCCCTTTCTGCTCTGAAATCCCTTTATGGCCATTTTTTCTAACTAATAGGGACATTTTGTAGATAGTTGGCCAGAATGGATTCCTGGAAGGAGCTGCTGAAGCAAACCAAGGATGAGATCCTACAAGAGCTTAATTCAAGCTAACCGTGACATTCAACAGCATCAGGGCTGGTCAAACTCAACGTCCCTGTCAAGTTGTGGCCTGTTTGGGTACAAAGCCAACAGTAGCAGATTCCCACTGCTGTGTCCTTAGGGAGTGGGAAGCATCCATAAGCCAGGAGAGCAGGTTGCTGACCCCAGACTCAGTGTTGCAGAAACACACAGTGCCAGACAGGCAGCTGGGACTCCAACCACGGGCATGGAGATCAAGGGGGCAAGGATGGTTTTCTAAAACTGCACGAAAGGTTCTTTCTGTGAATCTCTGGCATGGACAGACAAACGCTTCCTACCCTGGTGGGCACGAGACACTTCCCCAGAAGTGAAGGATTATCAGGAGAGCATCTGGAGAGGGAGAAAATATATGGAGCAGGGACCACAGTGACCCCATTTAGCCTTGTCCCATCTCACATGCCCACCACTGATGGCAAATTAAGTTCAAAGGTTCTCACAGGGCCAAACAAATATCTATCTGGGGACTGAGCTGCTATTGGGGCATTCTGAGCTGCTTTTTCTGATTTTTTTTCTCTTCACTTTTTCTTTTTTTGTTCTTCTTTATTTTTCTGCAATGTTGCAAGAGAGGAGCAGTAAAAGAAGGGAGGCAGGTGAAGAAAAAATGATGGAGGCAAATGACTGGCACAGGTCTACGTGGAGAATCTGGAAGTACAACTGGAAGCTGTGTGAATACCAGTTTCCATTGGTGTACGAATGTGCAGAGCAATACATTTACCACCATTAACACCAACCTGGTCTGCAGCACCTGTTCCACTTACCCACTTGTCATGCAACACTTTGGAGACCAGCAAGTCAAAGTCAAGGTCCTAAGCCCGGGCACAGCATGCCTTGTGCCAGCTTGTTTTCCTCACTCCCACCACTGAGAACCATTGTGGCCTTCATCTCTCATCACTGAACATGAACTCTGTTATCAGCCACTCCAAACTCCACTTCAGGATGTTTCTGTTGTTTATCATTATTTTTAACCCGCTTTTCTTAATTTTGCCTTCAGTTCTGTGTGAGTGCTAGCACAGTGGAGGCATCCCACAAGCTGGCCCATTTCCATGCCCAGAGCCCTCGGACGGATCTCCTGACCTAGACGTGTCCTGGACCTTGCCATGACAGTGCACCACTGGCTGCTGTGTTGGGAGCAGGCTGTTGAGACCCATCAGTGCCCCATCCTCCTCCAAAAACAAGACCACGTGGCAGCAGGTCACGGCAGTTGGACGGTCTCGTGAGCAGCAGCAGTGCAAGGACTGGCCACCTGTGATGTGAAGATGTGAGATGCAGCTGTCAAAGGCTTTTGATGAGTGGAGGGGTTTAAAAAAAAAAAAAAAAAAAAAAAAGATGAATAGGACAAAAGCGTGGAAAATGTAAACTTGTAATATGTATTTTTACTACACTTTTCTTAAAAATAGAGTAACGGTAAAACTCTTAAAGACATTGACATTTTTTCTCAACAGGATTCCATATTTAACAGTTTTGGCTTTCATTAAATTTTGCTCTTTGGTACCTGGATCTTTTATTTAAGAGCTATATTTGTTTTAACTCTCTTTTGTTTTTTATTTATTTTTTTTTCTTTTGGCAGTACTGCAAAGAATTTTGCTTTATCAAATGCAACAGTGTTTTTCTTTTCACATTCTCTTTTTTTCAAGCAACATTTTTATTGGTAATTATTATTTACACAAAGATGAAACTATCAGCTGGAATTTTAGCACCAAGGATCCATGATCTACTTTTCATACCTGTCCATGCCGTTTTGTGCCAGTGCTGGATGTGTGGAAATGAAAATGATGTTACCCCTCAGGCAATATTACCCAACCTGAATCAAAAGAGATTTCTTTGATTTTTTGCTGTGTCTGACTTGTGAACAGCAGCCAAATAAACTCCTTCAGGTTGAAATTGGGAATCTATCTAATATTTACCCAAGAGTCAGGAAACTAAATATTCATTGGGTTCAAAATTAATGATTTTGCTTCCTTTGGAGTATTGTGGGGTTATTTTTTTGAGGAGGGCTATTAGACGGTTTTAGCTTGTTTTTACAGAGAGAGAAGATATGGCCAGGTCAGAGATAACTCAGAACCAGCACTGGTGCAAAAATCCTTACCAGGATCAGCTTTTCTAGGAGCTTCCATGCTGTTTCAGAGGCTTGGACGTTTAAATGTTTCTCACTCAGTTTTCACACAATTGACCTGCTAAATTCCTCATCCAAAATCCTGTTGAAGGGAGAAAGAGAGGAGGATTTAAAGGGCCTTGGACATTTGTGCAAATACTGACAGCTACTGAGGTAAAATACACTTATTAATGTCATGCCTTTATGTAGCACTTGGTGTCATGGATCTGGAAGGACTTCCCTTCCCATATCCTCATTCCCATTTACCAGCTGGGAAAGCTGAGACACAGAAGTGCCTTTTGACCAGGCATTCCAGCTCACCCCTCTGGGTCATGGTTATAGGTTCAAGATCTCCAGCATTCACAAGTATTTTTTTACCCACTGGTAAGTTTTAAATATAGAATCAGTAAGGGACAGAATTAATATGTTTTGAAAGGGGCAGTGAAACCTCAGGCTTCAAAGAACAAGAGGATTCCCAAGCAATGGGCCCTGAAGGAGAGGTTTCCCATGGGCAGACTATGCTGTATCAGCCCATTTTGGTCTTCCACAACTCCCTAGGCATTCAGTACTGTGCTGTGGGCTTGGATTCTATCTCAAAATGCCCTTCTTGCTCAGTGGTTTGCTCCTGGTTCACAGTGAGGTTGCAGAAGTGCACAAGAAATTTTCCTTTATATCTTGGCATAAACAGGACAAAATTTCCTCCTAGTGGTAAAAACAAATATTCCTTGTAATAAAGTTTCCAGCAAGAATCCATGTTCAGGAGTTGTTGAAGAAAAAAAAACCAAAACACTGAACCTTGAAGTGCAGCAGGTGAAGAATAGATCCATCGCTCAGTCCATTCCTTCACTATGGAATCAGGACCCAAAGCTGGGATGCTCCAGCAATATTCAAATGAAAGGAGAACTTAATCATCAAAGTTCAGTGAAGGGACAGAGCAGGGGTGCACCAAAATTTGCTGTAACCCAGTGGGCACCACTGACCTGTTCAGCTCCAGCAACTCAGCCCATATCTCCATCAGAAGTCTGGGGAGACATGAGGAATTTTTCACTGTGAACACAGGCTCCTGCTCAGTTTTCAATGATTGGTCACCCAAGCCTCACACATGGCTCTGGGTCCCCAGGAGAACATTTCTGTGCACGTTTCTAACATATCCACCATGGAGACTCATGTCATTGCTTAGCTGACCCATCACAGTGGTGTGTGGTTCCCTTAGGACACTGCTCATACTCTTAGCTGCCATGACATGAGAAATAACAGCACAGACTGGGGGATTAGAGAGGAGAGGTTGCTCTGAAGCACCATCTCGGGGACTGTTCCCACCAGCCAAGGTACCAGCTGCTTTTGGAGACTACCTTTTGGAGGCCCATGTGTCCTGTTCTCTGATGCCTTTTGTAGCTGTTGACCTCTCTTAAACAGAGATCCCCCAGTTGCCTTCATGTTACCTATGAGTACAAATCAGTTTGTCATCCACTAGTGCTGGTTTTGTGTCTTACCAGCCCACTGCTGGCAGAAGCCCCAGTGCTCTCACCTCTGTTACCCAATTAATTACTTAATTAACAGAAATATACAGATATCACTGTGACATGCAGAGCTGTTCACCAGCCCATAGCAGGGCAGGGCTTTAGTGGAAAAATCCACATGCAAACCCCAGCTCAAAGGATGCAAGACAAAACTGCTTCAGCTCCATGTTGCTCCAGCTTCATTACAAAGATGACACTCATTCCAGCTTTCTTCTTACACAGAGCTGCTCTATTTTTTCCAGGCACTTGGTCCTGATGGTTTGAGCATATAAGAGGGATAAATTTAGTGTGCAAGGACCAGGAAAAGCTTTTCCTAGGCATGGAGGAGAAGCTTGAGACTGATCTCTCTAATAAAATCCTGACTATTCCCACTCTGGGATTCTCCACTCAGCATCACTTTCCATTTCCCTCTGTCCATCCCCATCTCTCCTCCATCTGTACATCAATTCCACATCAGCACCACCAGTTTCTCCTCTCCAGTACCTGCAGTAGGCTCTGGATTTGTACGTGGTGTTGTCTCATTGGAGATAAGTCTCTATCACCCTATGGCTTTAGAAAGCAAATAACTTTGGGATGGGGCAGAGATGTGAATCCAGCTCCACACTGGGCAGAAGTGATCCCGTAACCCATCACACTGTACTTGGGCAGCAAGCCCTTCTGCAAATGGAATGTTCTACGGAGCCACAATCCTGCAAAGTGCTGAGTTACCTGGCTGTTCCCAGAGCACTAAGATTAATCCCCCTTTTGCTGGGGTGCAGTTCTCCCAAGGAGGTGTCGCTGTCTGGCTGCCGGGAGGTACAGCTGCTCGGGGATGGAGAGGGGCAGGGTGCTGGGAATCACCTCCATTGAGCTGGTACCCGAGTGAACTCACCTGCTGAACCTGTGCAAAGGGACATCTGTCTCTAGAGCAGTGGAACTGTAATCCTTACCCCAGAAGGGATATTGGGGAGTGTAATCAACCAATGTTTGCACATCCTTTTCTCATGCACTATTTGTATAGTACACATACACGAATATGCATACACAGATATTGAGATGCCTTTGACCATGCAAATTAGCTGTCAAAGTAGCTTCTTATTCCTAAGGACCAATAGGGTATAAAGTAACAGCCACAAAGTATGTTCATTGCTCTGCAGGGCTGGTTTAACGTGCTCTCTGGATCCCTTCAGCAGTAATTCCTTCCCTGCTCAAGCTGGCATCAAAATTAATGGCATGTCGTGTTCTATAAGTCCTGACTTTTTAGATGAAAGGTACATGGTGTTGTTCACATCAGTATTACAGTGTAATAAATCAATGCTTTCCTGTTGGAAGGATTTCAGACGATTTTGCAGCTTGCTCTCAGGAACTAAAAAGACAACCTGTCTGCCAGGCCCTTGGCCCATAAGAAATATTTTTCCATAAAAACAGGAACAAGAAGGGGGAAACCCCAGCATTTCATTGCAGTATTGTTGTCTGCTTCGTGTAGGACACTGGGACCAGGGCAGCAACACCAAAGTTCCCTCAGGCATCATCACACAAGGTGGTTCACAGCAAAAGGGAGCACATTCCCTGTGCTGAGGAGGATGTGGACAAAACTAACAGAGGCTGGGGGGGGTATCAGAGCCTGATCTCACTTGATCAAATAGGAGCAGAGACAAAAGTAGAGTTTGCCTTCAAATTGCCATGCTCTAGAACAAAGTGCTCCAAATTTCCAGAAAAGAAGCAGGAAAAGGGAAGAGGAACGAAGCCAGGACAGAGCATCCAGCAACCCCCTGAAAGGTGCCCACACAGTTACTCTCCTGGCTGCTCTGGTAGCTGCTGCCCACAGTGCAGTTCACTTACTTAACAACATCTTTACCAAGTAAAATTCCCCTGCTCCCAGGAGCACATGTGTAAGATGGCAAGAGGCTGAAACTTGAAAGGGGAGCCGTTTTGTTGTCTCAGATTAGCTCGAACTGTGTGACGAGCTTTCCTCACTTCAAAATCTATGTTGTTAACCTTGAAATCTGCATTATTAATATTTCAACATGAGTCCCATCAGGAGCTGCCTCAAGAGCTCTCCTGGACTCGTGACAGTTCGTCCTGTTTGATTCTAATCATATATGAACGCATGAGTTAAGAAGACATCATTAAAAGTACATTAAGTTTAATTATGCTAGCAGCCACAGACAGTGGAAGCATCAGCTTAATGCAGAATGCATAATTAGATCAGACCTAATCCATTGGATTCATATTTGTTAAAGAAAATGCTCCTTGTCTTAAGTGTCCCTACAAAGTGATCCATAGGGTTTGGAGGAACAGCACCATTTTCTGGGGGCTGCTGTCCTCCCACCCCCTCTCTCTTCCTCCCTGTCCATCACACCTGCACACTCTGCTGAGCCCTCACTCAATTCATTGATTATCCACTTTAACAAAAGCACACAAAAAACTGAGCAAGAAAATCCCCTGCCCTGGCAGCCAAGCCCTGGGGAGATGCTGTGGTGGTTTAAAGCATTATGCACTCAGATTTCCTTTGCAAGGACCTGGCCCATCAGAACAATTGGTAGATGCAAGAATTCACCCAGTCCCAGGTGGGTACATGGCCTCACAACCCAGCTGGACCAGTGCAGCTGTGCTCAGGAGTGGAAATGGCTGATACCTTTGCACACACTCCAGGCATGTTGGCTGCAGAGTGGCTTGGGACAACTTTCCAAACAGAACAAAAAAAAGACAAAAATAAGCTAAAATAACGAAAGTTTTTCAGCTCCTCCTAGGGATGATCCAGCTCTCTCTACTAACACCAGCAGACCTGCAGGGGCCTGCAGCTGTGGGAGCAGGGAAGATGACATGTCCCTTTTCCCAGCAGCTTAGCATTATAAACCACCCACTGCATTGTTCTGCAAAACCACAACATTCATGGGAAACCACCATCACCAGTGGGCAGCCATGGGTTGTCACCCCCATCTTCACCCCACAGCAGGGTCACAGGGATAACTGGTACCAGCAACCCCCCACACACCCAAGCAGCATCACCATAGTAGGAATGACAAATCTGCCAATGCCTGAGCCTCCAGGCAGTCAGGTTGCTGTGGCTTGGTGATTCTCAGCTGGAGTACAGTGAATCCTGTAGCCATGGAGGGATTTCAGCAGCACCTCCCAGCCTAGATCCCACAGCAGTGCCCACTGCCTGGGCAGGGCATTTTCCAGCTCCTGAGGGCAGTCTCAGAAGTGATGCACTTCAACTGCAAGCTGCAAAACCAACAATGCCCTTGAGGGCCCATGCTCACTGCCAGCCTGGTTTGCTAGAGGGAGGGGGGAAGTTACTATGAGTCTTTACCTGTCACAGGTTATTCACTCATCACCCCACAGGCTAACTCAGCTCAGCACTGGGGAGGGTCTGTGAAAGCTGAGGTCCCAGTCCCAGTGGGTGGGCAATTTCAGCTGCTGTCCCCTCCAGCCTGCAGACAGAGGTGAAGGCCACCATACAGCACGTGCCTGGAGCTGTGAGTGAACACAGGAGCAATTGTGGTTCAGGAGGGAACCCGAGAGCCCTGCGCTCGCTGGCACTCACCACAGGCAGGAGACACTTAACAGCTCAGCCGAGCCCTCTAACACCTGCCTAAGTGCTGAATATTATTACTATTAAAATATAATGGCCTCTTGCTGCCTCTCTTCTGTGGAGCTGGACAGGGGCTATGATTGGGAAGCCACAGCACAGAGGCACAAACCCCCAGGCAGGGCAGAGGGGCAGGATTAAAAGCTTTCTGAAGATACCTTTTGCAGCCAAGGGCCAGCTCCAAAGAGACAACAATTACTGGTTAGAAAAAAATCCCAAGATTTCCACAAAGTGTTCTGAATAAAGCATCTGCTAACATATGTTTTGAGAGGGCTTTTTGGTTTGTTTATTTTTTCATTATTTATTTATTTATTTATTTAAAGATAGAAAATCCCTTCCAGCCCCTTTTATCTATATTACATTTTCATCCTTGCCACCTTCATCCCATCTCCACCCTGCTCATGCAGGAAAGTGGCACACAGGGAGGTTAGTCTATGCCAAGAAGTCCAGGACAGAACAGGATGGAGGCCAGTAGCACAGGGGTCCCTTGCCACAGAGGTGGCTCCCATGTTCTCTGTTTTTCAGGGATTTTATCTGACAATGGTTATCAGAATCACAAATTCCAATCTAATAAACACGGGGAAAGACTGGCTAAAGGTTGCTGTGATTTTCTTTCCCATTTGTGTGCTGAAGTGGATCTGTTTGCCAATAGTCATCACAAGACGGAGTTCTGGCTCAGCTGAGAAGTATGAAGAGATGTGGAAAAGACTTGGGAAAACTTTCTTACTCTAAGGAAGCATTTGAGTTACAGTGAATTCTATATACTCTTAGCTCCTGATGGACTTTTTCAGTGGGGAAATATTGGAAGCAATATAACCTCACAAGGTCTTTTAGAGAAAGCATTGATCTCCCTAAATGGGCAGCAATTGATATGTTCAAAGTGAGCATTGTGTGCATGCATGTTCACACTCATGTGCATCTGATGCCATTTAAAAATAAAGCAGCAACACCCCCCCCCAAATCTAATATGAGCACAAAGAGCAGCTCTTTGGAGAAGGAAATGTGAGGACCTTTATGTCCCCACCATGAAAGACCTTCAGTGTGATAATCCATCGGGCAGGATGAAAGGGTAACCCCTGGTGCTGTTAATTGTTCTTTCCAAAGGAAAGCAATAAATTATTGCATTCACTGAGCAACCAAAGGGAAATCTAAGGTAACCCCTCTGTGACCAGTTTGCCTCAGGCCGACCACTGCCATCCCTGATGGGAGATGGGTTATAGCTGCAACCCTGGCAGCCACAAGCCATACACTTTCAGAGACTCATAAGCAAAGTTTAGGCTCTAAAAACCCTCTCTGAGATCCCACCAGACATCTGGCAGGATTCAGCAAGATGTCAGATACCTCCATCTACACTGCAATGTATTTTGACAGTATCCTGACACAGCCACATGACCATAGTGTGATCAGCTCTTAGGTTTCATTTGAAGAAGTGTTTTCACTCTGCTGTAAGAGAAATCTCCCCACCCCTCACAGACCATATGTCATTTTTTAGTACATTTGCTGATTATCCAGAAAGCACTCAGAGAGACTGAGCACTGCCCCAGTGGTTCATGGATCCTCTTTTACAGCAATTGGTACAGAAAGGGCTGCAGCTCCTGTTCCTTTCAGGGGAAAAAAAAAAAAAGAAAAAAAGGAAAAAAAAAAAACACAACAAAAAAACCCCCAACACAAAAACAAAAACAAAACAAAACAAAAAAACACAGAAAGATTCCCATGGGATTGCTGCTTTACAAGACACCCAGGCAGAAGGACAGATACTTCCAAGTACCCTGGCTCCCAGAGGGCTTCCCTCTGCTACAGTCAGTAGGTTGCTTCACTGAGACCCCCCTTACCCTTCCATGGAGCCCAGAGCTCAGTATTGCCAGAAACACAGGGACATGCCCACACTGCAAACCCTCATCCTTTTTAAAAGGATTTTGCTATGCCATGAGTTTGTGGCAGGACAGAGAGGAAGGGAACAGCCCGTGGTTTGATGCAGTAAAGTAAGAGAAACTCCAATTCATGCTTCCTCTTTACTGTTGTCTTTCTTGAGGGGACCAAAATGATAATTCAAGAAGATATTTTCAGGCTTAAGGAAAGCCAAAACCCAGGTGTGTGGCTTTGCAGTAAATTCTCTGACTCCAGCCTGCTAGGCCCTGTAACTGGGACTTCACCACAGCAACACTGCCTCCCTCCATGGGGCACAGGGACAAAATTCTCATCCCTGTTGTTCCCAGTTGTTGTCTGATGCCACAGGTGTGCTACACGGTATGGTGTAAAGGTCTGTGTTTAGCACCTGGTGGAGAAAGGGTTAACAGCACCCCACCCCCAGCTATAACCTCCAGAGCCTGGCAGGACTGGGAGGAAATGGGAGATTATCAGGAGCTATAAAGGTGTGCTGGGAGGTCTTTGCTGGGAGAGCCGGGGCGGGAGGCATGGATGTGATTCTGGAAGGGCTGAGGCAGCAGCCTGCTGCTTTGCTGCCCTGATGCAGGGAGGCTCCTGCAATCCCTTACTACCAGCATCCTCTCCTGGAACTGTGGAGGAGATGGGAGAAAAGGCACTCGCTTGCTTTTAATATCACAGGTAGGAGGGGAAACTCTGTCAGTGCCTTCCTCCTTCTGGCTTCTGAGCTGTTCTCCAAGCAGGAGTGTAGGAAGGAAAGCTTCCTTATCCCAGGCTGTGGGACTGGTACTTAATCCCTTTGATAGCAAGGAGTTCTTCAGCTGCTGACAAAGACAGGAGGTTGCTGTGCAGGAATAATGGGAAGGAGATTTAAAACTGCTGAATTATGTACCTGGGGCTTCCCAGAAGGCTGGTGCAAAGGGGAGAGGTACAACATTAACCTTAACAGGAATTAGGACATGGAAAGGGAGACTTTCTATCGCTGAGCAGAGGTAAAACTCAAAATGCATGGCCTTAAATAAGCAAAACCAACTACTTTGCAGGCCAGGAAATACTTTTTGGTAACTGTAGTGCATCAGGTAGCGCTGTGTGCCAGGAAGAGCAAATACAGCCTATCTCCAGGCCAGGAAAAAACAACCAAACTCATGCAAGCAGTCTGTAAACAAGAGAAAAAGCCTTGTGTGCTTTCCCAAAGATAGATCCTGACAGTCTGATGTGCTTTGCTTTGTTTGTCTGTTTTTCTCCTGAAGCTGCCTGTGTTTCTAAGGGAGGGAGGTGTGGTAGGTTTAATGTAAATGAGCTTCACAAAAACATTTGATTTTGACGAGGAGCTCATTAGCTAAAATGAAGACTAGGAAAGAAGAGTTGTCAAAGTGAGACATCTAAAGAGAAGATAATGAGTTGTACTGCAAAGCATAACTGGCTGGAAGGAAAGTACACATAGAGCTTCTCTGAAAGATTTATCTTGCAACCACGATTAAATCACATGAAGAATTTAAAGACTTTAAATTTGGGGAATAGACAGAATGAAAGACTGTGGTTTGACATTGTGATTGAGGGACTGACTGCAAGACTAAAGCTAGAAAGAGCAGAAGAAAATCTGGGTACACCTGCTGATCACAGCGTGGATGTTTGCCACCAAATGGGACAATATGCTACAGGCATTAAAAAACCCTGGAAAGTTAAAAGAAATAGGCACATTGAACAGTCACAGCAAGAATTCCAACTGGGAAAAACCTTTGATGACACCAAAAATGCTATGCACTATCCTGGCCAGACATCAACAGGAAAGCTGACCTGAAACTGGAATAACTGGGAGTTCAATGGCACAGGAACTACATTCCAGCATTGCTTATGTTTGTGCCTGCCAGCAGTGCGGTGGCCACTGCCACCTAAACAGGCCCTATCTATGAAATGTCTTCTCTAAGCTGTCCCAGGAGTTTGCAATCTTGCTTGGAAAGTTACTAGGCCGTGGACTTACCAAGGGCAAAAGAGTTTTCCCCTCTCTGGGATAGCTGGGCCAAAATCATCTCTCCAAAAAGTTTTTCAACGCACCCAGGGAAATCTGCCCTGAAATTTAGGCAGGGAGGAAAGCAAGATGGAGAAGGGGGGGCCAAGGACACTTTGAGTTGATAGACAGGAGAAAAATTAGAAAGGGGAGGATGACAAGACAGATGCTGGTGCATAACAAGTGCCTCACAAGGAGCTGTGATGGAGCACGTCCCCAAACAGCCGGTACAAGGTGCCAAGCGAGCCAGGAGGAGCGGAAGGTGCTCTGTAGGTGTTACTTTTCTGATTTAATAAACTTCAGCTGCTCCCTGCGAACGTGCCGGCTCCTGGCTCCACTCAGAGGTGTCAGCTTTGTAACTGGGGCATCGCTCCGGCCCCCGTTGTCAGCACTTCTTGAAGGTGAGAGAAAATTCATACGAGCACCAGGTTTGCTGGCTTTGAGAGGCGCCGGGACGAGAACAGCCTCGGAAATACTATCGGGGCTGACACGTGGGGCTCCTCCCACGCTTGGCAGGGAGGGAAAGCTTAAAAGCATAATTTGTGCAGGAATGAAAAAGCAGCATCTTTGTGCCAATTGGCTTGGAGGCAGCGAGGTGCAGCAAGGAAAACATGATACGGGTTTGTAATCTCTCCGGTGGAGACTGGCTCACAGTTACTGCTTTTAACCACTTCTGGTGGATTGTGTGTTAGAGTGGGTTGTTTTCTACAGTATATAAATTGTGGAACAGTAGGTTTTTAGTGAGGTGTTCCTGAAGAGCTGTGGGATGTCTCCATGAGGCCATCGTGGAGTGAGGTGGTGTCTCCTTGTTGCTCAAATCCAGCTTACCCAGGAGCCAAGTGCTGCACATCCCCAGTGCACGCCTGACTACAGTTATGAAGCTCTGGGAAGGCCTTTGAAGGAGAGGAGATGCTCAAAATGCAATGGAAGTATTTGGAGACCTGGGTGCTCTCCCATGGCTCAAATCAGTTCTTGGACAATTTCTGAGATTTTCCCGTTTTCATCTGTTTCAAGAAAGCAAACATTCCAAGGGTTTTCCCCAGTCCTTAGGCGCTGTAGGGCTGGGGAGAGGTGTCCCCCTGGGTGATAGGAGGGAGCAAGCCCAGCTCACAAAGGGTACAGAAGCTGCAATGGTTCCCTCAGCAATCAGCAGGGCCAAAAGCATTTGGGTATTAAAAGTCATGGAAGATCTTTCTTATGATGGGATATTTCTTTCATTGGCTGATTGCTTTACCCTCCTTCCCTCTGCTGTTTGTCATGTGTAAGAATAATGTAAGGAAAAATTAATTCCCAAGGTCCCGGATCCCAGCATGTGTCCATAACCAATTGTCCTGGTAAGCGCTGCAAAGGGCAGGGAATCCATATGGCTGGTGAAGATTACACAGATTCTATTTTCACATCCAGCACAAGCCCTCCCAAAGGAGGAGAGGAGTGAGGAGGAAGATCTCATCATATCTGACTGATGCTTAGAAACCAACTTTGGGTCTCACCAGCGCCAAAATCCCAGGACACATCCTCTTGCTCTAATTTACAGTTACAGCCACGGAGAGCTTTCTCTTGCAAGATAAAAGTGGGCTAAGAGCAGCTGAGGGAGGAACTTCAGGAAAGATGAGGGCAATGTGAGCTCCTCCTGGTTGCACGGCTCAGCCCAGCCCAGCTGTGGGCACAGACCTCGCCTGCATGGCAGGGACCAAACAACAGGATAATTGCTCTCCCTGCAATACACTGACTATGTACATTTAGATTTCAATTAATTTGCTGGCTCTAAATGAACTGCCTCCTATTGCTTTCAGCAATCAAGGCTTGTTAATTGAAAATAGCGTTTATCTTATCTCTAGGAGAAGGCTGGGCAAAAGTAGGGCAACAGAATCCTGTGTGAAGGTGGCACCAAGTGAAAGGAGGAAGGGAGAAATGAAGCAAAGGAGGAGAGCAGCCAGGATGGCCAAGGCAAAAAGTTCAGCTTTTCAGCTTTTTTTCTTTTTTCTTGATGGCTTCAATGTTTTCAGGATGTCTCAGTTTGGAAGGGGTTTCTTTTTGCCAGGACTCATGTGGCCCCACTTCCAGCTGGTTGTGACTTTCAGTGGGGTTATGTGTGTGCTCAGGAGGCACTGGCTCGTGCTGCAGGGGCTCATGAACACAGGGTTTAGCCTCCCTGCTTCCTCCAATGTCGTGGTGCTGGCTGGGGCTGCTGGAGCACAGGAGGAGTAGCCCATATCTGGGTAACACAGAGCATAAGGAGTCGTTTAATGCATTTCCTTGGGTGACAGGTGAACCCTGAGTAGTTGTTCATCCCGTCTTTGTTTCCACAGGAGCAGCCCCACTCCTGCAGAAACAGTGACTGAAATGTCAAAAGTGTTTTGAAAATCAAATGATACCCAAAGCCCACCTCCTGCTCCATTTCCTAAGGAAAGCCCTTTCAAAAGACCGCCAGCCTTGCTGTACTGTTTGAAGAATGATCCCAGTTTCTTACCTTTGAATTAAGTTGCAAAGTAAGTCCTTAAGACATGGGATCTAGCACAGGTTTGGCTTTTATTTTTTCTCTTTCTTGGTCTGATTACTTAAACCCTCTCTGAATTTCCCACCATTTGAACCTAATGTTATCTCATACACACAGTCGTCATCTCATTAAAAGGAAATCAGAGAAACTGACTTTAATAAATTTTAACACCCTGTGTGAAAAATCTGGCAATTAAAGCTTCCTGCCCCTGGACCTTTGAAAGCGACACGTGGCAAATCCCTGTCAGTCTTTAATAAGCACAGCTCATCAAAGGATGGAGCACGAGGGGGTAGGAGAGGAAGCAGGGGAAGGGAAGAAACAGGAGCATCAAAACTGAGAGGCTGAAAGACAAAAGCTGACCCTCCTGCCAGAAACTGAGGAGAGAACAAGCATTGTTAGAGGAGGTTGATAAGCTCAGCTCGCTCTGGCAGTGAGGGAGGTAGGATGGAGGTGAGTCCAACCAGGCAGCACCAGGCATGCAGCATTAAACAGAGACCCCCCAGGTACAGTTCTGACGTGATTTTTGCTCCTGATGCTGATCTCAAAAGGCAAAAGGTGCTGAAGAACAGCAAGCATGGGGATATGAAGCAAGGCCATGGACCAGGTTGGTTGATTCTCTGTAGCCCTTCTGGGAAAAAATCCTAGAGATAAATTTATCATCAGGATAAATTTACCCTCCTTGCTACCTATTGATGACAATCACTCCAGGAACAGTCACTTCTAATACTGTTTTTCTGGAGAAAGGGTTTGGGGTTTTTATTTTATGGATGGGGAGAAACAGGTGTTTCTTACCACTGCTGAAGCCTGGACAGTGGGAAGGAGATGTACTAACCAGGTGTGCAACTTCCCTGTAATCAGATAGGAAAATCCCAAGATTTCTTGGTCCTTCTAGCTCCTTCTGAAGCCTTGAGCAAGTTTTCTGAGCTCTCAATCACCTGGTATTTGTACAAATGGAAATGATTATCTTCATTCCCATTCCCTCATGATTCATCCCTGAAGTGCATAAAGTAGCAGAAGCATCTTGAAAGAAAGGCACAAAGTATACATGGTGACAGTTTTTATGACTTTGACATCTCTTAATCTGGGGCTAAAAGCTTTGTTACTTTTTTTTTTCACTTTCTTATTATCTAGTCCTTCCAGGATGGCAAGAGATGGTGAATAAAGGAGATCTTACAAGAGGAATCACTGATTTTTTGCACAGGTAGGTAAAACACGAGCAGTGAGGAACTGATGATGGACTGGAACACTTTAGCATGAAAATCCTCAGGTGCCTCATAAGGTTTCTCCTCTGAGTCTGCTGAAGTGATAACGCCACTGGAAGAGGTTTTTCAGAAAAGGAATAGCCAGCCAGGGACTGATGGCTTGATTGGATTGCAGGGAAGCTTCACATCATGCCTGAAAGAGAATCTGTGGAGCCAACAAAAGCTTGCTAAAAGAGGAGACCAAGACAGGAGAGTGTGATGCAGCTTGGCTTTTGCCCAAAGTGAGGCAGGTGAGGTGAGCCACAAGCTGAAAATGGACAGTGCAGCAGCTGGAAGGTCACGAAGAACTTGCTCTGAGCAGGTTGAGGAACCAAAAATGATGCAGAAACTGCCTTTAATAAATTTGAACACCCTGTGTGAAAAAGGAGGGCTGAAAGTGTGTCCTGGATAGGTAACTGGGACAGCATTGCCTCTTCCTCTCCAGGGGAAAGGAAAGCTGGTCAGCCTCCATGAACAAAGCTTGTGAAGATGGCCTTTGTTTGCCTCCACGAGCACAGAAATGCCACAGGAAGACTCTTATATTGAGGGCTGTTGATTCAGCCTTCTTAGAATACACAGACTTCTCCTCTCGTCTTTATATAGTTCCTGTGACCATTTCTTCCATCTCTGTCCTTCCTTTTACACATTTTCCTATGTGGAAACCTGGTCTCACTGTGGTTGGCTGTGCTTCTCTGTGAAAAGGAGGTGTCTCCTGCCCAGTTCCTGGTGCAATGGCACACAGACAGCTGGCAGTTCACCCTGCCTCCCCATGGTGTTCCCTGCCAGAACTCTAGCTCTCTCCTTGACATGTAGTGTCCACTCATGTTCAGGATTCTGGTTTATCCCTAAGATTCAAGCGGTATTTGTGCCTCTTCGGGTCTTTAGGGAATGTATCACATTTATTCAGTTGGCCTTTGCTGATACTGAGGTCAGAGGACAGATCATTTTTGGTGACACTGGCCCTGCTCCATGTGCTTGCAGAAGCAAAGTGCTGTGTGTTTGTGAAGTGGGTGAAATGGCACATTTCTGCATCGGGATTCTTTGAGCCCTTACAAAAACACAGGAGAACATGGCTGCCCTGCAGCCACCAGCTCTTCACTGGGGACAAAGCCTTGGGGAAGAGCCCAGGCAGGGCACCACGATGCCCTCTGCCCTCTCTGCCTAACCTCAGCCCCAAGTGCTACATCCGTGATTGTGTTCCCCATTTCCAGCACTCTGCAACAAATGCTGCCCTGCAAGAGTGGCTCACACAAGAGGACTGAGCCAGGAGAGCCTCTACCTGCTGTGTGGCTTGGGCCTCTCCTATGCTAAAAAGGAGCATTTTAGGGAAAGCTTTTGTTCTGGATTTGCTATTTCAGCAGTTACTTGTCAGTCCACATTAGCAGGCACAAGGGGATGCTCAGTACCAGTTACACCATGTCTTGCATTGCCATTGCCTTTGGCTTCAGACCCAGATGAGCAGTCCAAGCACCTCAGCTCTCCTGTCCTCCAGATCTCTCTTGGCAAAAGACTTTACTTTTCAGGGAAAAATAGTTCTTTTTATCACACCGTCAGACCCTGCTCCAGCCCCCAGGACTCTGGTTCTTCTGTGACTACAGCAGCCTTTTATTTCCAAGGCAATTTAGTTCTGGGCAAAAAGCAATCTCAGCACCCCTGCCCACTGCCACCTGCCTGCAGCATTCCACATCAGCTGCTGGGGGGGAAATGCAGCTGGGACCCCTGGGGGAGGCACATGGGCCAGAAACTGCAGGAAGCTGAGGTTTTTGATGTTTGCCTTATTTATTTATGCAGCAGCCACCATTTCCACAAGCATCCCTTTCTGCCGAGGAGCGATAAGCTGCTCCTGGCTCCTACTTGCCCACCCCTGCTGGCTCCATCTTTTGCCAGGCTCCATCTCATTAACATGCACCAAAAAAGCCCCCGCTCACATCCCTGCCAGGCTGCCCTCCCTGCCCTGCCTCCAAAACACTGCCAGTGTGCCATGGAAACAGCCGACCGAGCTTGCTGGGCTCAGCAGAGTGTGCAAGGGAAAGGGAAGAGGGATGGCTCCAGAGATGCCCTGGGTACCCACAAGACAGAGATGCAGCTTCAGGATTAAATTCCCCACTTCCCTTCTCACAGCTGGGCTGGGTATGGTGTGTACAAAGCAATTTAAATATGTGTAATTAAATCAACTTGCTTGCATGGTTTGCAGCTGAAGGTCGGTGATACACATCTGAGGCTGCACCAGGGTGACTGAGGACTGAGCCCAACAAGCCCTGTGCTTGGACTTCCTTCCCCTGCATCACAGGTGGGAGCAAACCCCTTGACGGGCTCTGCAGGGGGCTTGCACCCCTCCATGTGAGTGCAGATCATCCTCAGGTGTGCCCAGCTCCTGCCCTGCCACACTCTCCTGCCCACTGCACCTCGCAGTGCCCCTGGTCCCGCCACGGCTCCAGTCCACACTAGAGCCTACAGGGTCTGGGCATCAGCAGTGATGTGCACCTGTCTGGGCAGAGCTCTGCCAGGCAACGCTCCTGCATCCCACGTTCCTAATTGCTCCATGCTGTGATGTGTCCATCTAGGCAGAGCTCTGCCAGGTGATGCTCCTGTATCCCACATCTCCAGTTACTCCACAATGCAATCCCAGCTGTCCCTCTCCTTCTCCCAGCCCATTGCAGTTGAGCAACCATAAGAGAGAGAGAGAGAGACTGCTATTGATGATAGTTTCTGAAAGGGATTTGGTAGTGCTTCCCATCACAGCAGCAGGATCATTGTGCCGTGAGCTGAGGAGCAGGAAAAGCTGTTTATCCAGCAGTACCTAGCAAGGAGGAGGGTTCTATTGCCCAGGCAACAGTTTTGTTTGTCTCCAAATACAAGCCAGGCAAGTTATGGCAGAGCCTTTCCCATGGGCCAAGCCAACACCAAGGGGACATCTGTTAACAAGCACTGACAAGTCTCTTGTGAGCACTGAGCACAGGGATACTAGAGCTACAGAAACATCACTCTGATCTCTGCATTAACACCAACCCTCTCGTGTAACCAGGAGCTGGTGGCTGCACACACAAGCCCTGCACTGGCAGCGGGTGGGCTCCCATCCTGGCTTGGCCACACAGCTGCTGCTCAACCCTGGGCAAATGGCCCTGCTTTCCCAGTGCCTGGGAGCGGCTTTGGACAGGGCTGGAGAGGGCACAGCTCCTCTCCAGAGAGCTATAATTAATATTTGGATGCTGCTGGCTGCTCTGGCAATCCCAAACTATCCACATTGTGCCCGTGCCATTCACATCTCTCCTGCTTTGTGAAGCATATTTATTATTATCTTTATTAATTATATACTGCAGTGCACTTAAAATAGGGAGGAGGGGGAAGGAATGGCCAGTATTTTAGCACCATGGAAAAGCAAAATGTTACATTTTGTACTTGTTGAAAGTAAAAAATCTTTCATTTCACAAAATGTGAGATGCATTACTAATTGCACAATTATTTTGTTCTGTGGCACTTGCAAAACAGCACTTGGAGTGCTTTCAGCAAATTCTGGTGTTGAGGAAATAATTGCTTGTTTTTTTAAAAAATGTACTAAATTACATGCTCTTCCTTTATGAGAGTTATTTCTTGGGTTTCTAGGATCTTTCTACCCTAACCATTCTTAAAATATAAGAAGCAAAAGCTTTGCTGCATTAGCAGTTTTCTGGAGTCGTGTGGACACTGAGGAAAGGAAGGGGCTGAGCAGGGACTGCTCCCTGCCCAATTCCCACTACCTGGTGAAGCAGATGAGCCCCTCTCTGACAGGGGTTAGTCTGGAGTGTGTCACTTTCTTCCCCTTGAAGGATGGTCCCGTGAAGGCCAGATGACACTCGACATGCAAAATTCATCCTGTGCCCTAAGGAAGTGCCAACAAACATCAGAAATGCACACAGCTGGAGCAGCTCCTGCTCCCAGGGGCAGAGTGGGGTGATGCAGGTACTCCAGCTGTCCAGTAGCTTGAGCAGTGGAACAGAGAACGACAATGCTTGTTTGCATCCAGTGAGAGGGACAGGGATGGAGCTGGAATATGGCAGATGAGTTCCTTTCACAAGAGATGCACAGGCTGCAATATGCAAATGCTCCCAGGGAGGTGGATATTGCAGATCTTTAAAATTAGAGGCCCTCTTCTGAGGTGAGAGGTGGGTTAACCTCACCTCTGCAGTGCTGGGCTGCAACATGTCCTTCCACAGCTGCTCTGATGCAGTTCTCCCACCATATCTTGTCTAGACAAACTCAATTTAATACAACTATAAAATTAATGACATTGAAAATAGTTTTATGGTCTTTTCTTCTGTGTGTTTCTCCCTTGCCACTCTCCCACCACACACATAAAAATCCAGCTGTTGGCAGCCTCAGGTCTCTCTTCCAGCTCTGTCATGAGCTGAGGATGTGCCTGGCAGCACACGAGAGCGGCACAGACGAGCGAGAGCAATCTCATTCAGCTCAGCAGGTAAGAGCAGATGTTTGGAAAACTAACCTCTTCGAGATGAGAAGAAAAATAATTCTATTTTTGTGAGATTGATCTGCTGGCACCAGCAGAGCAATCAGCTGGACTCCTAGGAGAGCAGCAACAAACAGCAAATTAGAAGGTGTCAGCCTGCTGAGATTTCAGGCAAATTAGAACGTCGATTTTGCTACGCTGTGTCTCAGAAGAGTCTGGTTGGGCTAAATCAACTCCTTGCATCCCTGCAAGCCAGCCTGTTACTCCGCTGTGGGGGCCAGTGGCCACGTGCTAAGGTGAGGGAGCTGAGGGTCAGGTGGAAGCTGCCACTGGAGCCCCCTATGAGGATGCTGCACCCACTCCCTGCAGCACTGGGCTGGCAGCGGCCACCAGGACCTTCCCGCTGAGCTGTTCCTCCAACCAGCCAAAACTTTGACTTCATGTCAATTGGCAATATTCCTAAAGCAAGCTTGAGCTCTTCCTGTTTCTCTTAGAAGGCTTTGAAATACAGCTACAGTTACAAACCCCAAGATACCAGCACCCAGTGCAGCAGGAGTGCTGGGCAGGGAGCTTTGGCCAGTGGGAGCACAAGCAGTGAATCACCCTTCTGCTACAGCCTGCAGTCCCTAGATCTGGATTTTCCTTAATGCCCCCTAATTCTACCTCATTGTGCTGGTTGTAAATCTCTCTCTTCTCCTGACAGCACGATACTCCTTGCTGGACAACTGAAGAATAGTGAATTGAGATCAGAGTCAATCATTCCCGCGGGAAGTCAGGGGGTCAAACAACTCAAGTTGCCTTTACAGACTGTCAGAGTTTGATGACAGCTGTTTCCACCAATGCACAGTATTTCAGTAACTGTTATTTAGCTGCACTAAGGAGGATCTGAGCACCCCACAGAAACTCTGTCTTTATCCCCAAATCCTCACCTACATATACTTTAAACTCTGATCTCATGGGAACAATGCTCCCAATGCTTTCATCCATCAAAACTGATATTGTTCCAAATGAGATGGATAATTAAACATCTCTGCTGATCCTTAAAACCCTCAGAATAGAAAAATCCCAGTTTACAATAGCATAGAAGCACATCACCAAGTAGTACAGATTGACAGCCAAGTTCTGTTCAGGTAAAGGCAATTACTCTGTGATTTTGTCTTTCTTTGAAGTCATAGAATTTTTAGGAAATGTTTGTCCTTGATTCTAAGGAGACAAAACTTCACCTGACATTTTTAGATTTAGATTGCTGAAGTTTGCTTTCATTCCTTCCCCCATTCCCATTGAATAAAGGCAAACATTTGCCATTTTCTTGTGCCACTTCTACCTCAGAAATTAATGCTCCTTTTTGGCTGAAATGTCTGGAATGAGTTAAGCTACCCCCAAGAAATTACTGCAGTGATGGATGTACAAGACAGGTGGAATGAAGAACCTACCAGCAAAGTGGCAGTAGCAATATACAAAATCTTATTAAGAGGAACAAATGAAGAAGATGGGAGGATCTGGGATGGGAAAGGAGGGGCATTGCCATGGAATTAGCACCTGCTGATTTTTATCCTTTCTAATAAAAAATTGCTTGTCAAGAAACTTGAAGGGGACCAACTACTGTCAGTTAACTGTGCACTTGAGAGAAATAATTGGAATGGAAAATTCAATGGCTCACAGCAGTCTCCAAAATCTCCTGGCTCCTTGCATTTCCATTCACTGGGCTCTGCCCTGCTGCAGCTTGGCATCATACAAGGTCCCTCCTGCTCCTCTCTTGCACTTGCTCTTGTTAATTGCTGTGTTTTTTTAAAAACCTTAAATACAAAAGGGTCTTGAGCAGTTCTGACTGGATTGAATTATTGTGTTAGCAGCTTTTCAATCCTGGCAGTGAAGGTCAAAATAAAAGAGTTAGATTTTAGCCAGGTTTGCAGTTAGAACGGAAAAGAAGGATCAACCAATCACTGGTCTCACTTTGGGAAGTCTCTCAGCTCACACGGGTGCTTAAGCATAATCAGCCACTTTATATTATTAGCTGTAGAAATGAAAGTAAAGTGTCATCATCCTTATGCAGAGATAGAAGTCCTGGACCCAGGGAGAAGTGACTTGTTAAGATTGCTTAGAAAAATAAATGCAGACCCAGAAATGTAATCTCCACTTTGGAATTACTTAAAATTCTTATTGCTGCCACAGGAATAGAAGGACCTGCACAGAGAAAAACAGCAGAAATATGGGTATACTTCAAGATGTATATTTCTATGGCTTTTCCATGGTCAATATGTACCTGCTTCCATGGTCTGGGCTGTATCCTGCACCCTCCCTTGAACAGTGAGTCATGAGAGTTCTCCTTACATCCCAACACCACTCACCTTTGGAAAGGGAGGTAAGGTGCCAAATCAAGAGCTGAACCCAGGGTTGAATCTGGGTCAAAAACTCCTGTCAGGGATCCAGTGAAACCCCCAGCCCAGGTAGTAGCTGCTGGGCAAATGAGCTATACTCAGTCAATTGAAGGATCTCCAGATCTCAGTGGAAAGCTCTGCTTGAGCATCCCTGTGACAATCTGAATGCATCATCCTGCTCCCAGCAAAACCCTGGAGACTCTCAGACTGGGAAAAGGC